AAAATATGTCCTAGGTCAGCATGTTTAGCTTCTACGACAGTGAATTTTTTCTTGTCCGAAATGTAGACAGGAATTTAGGATTGCAACTTACCATCTTATCGTCATGAGCAGGACCTGAGACGTCGCTGTCTTTGAATAAGTACGTAGGTGTTTTATTATTAATTTTCAAAAGGTATGTTCCGCACTGTTTCTGACCAAAATTTTGATGAAATAACAAACTTCAAATACATTTAGGAGGCTGTGATTTTTTTCAGCTCTGTGGGTTAACATAAACACTAGCAATAAATCGGCAAACTTTACCTCGACGGAAAAAATGCTAGATTTGCAAATTAAATATCGTAGTGTGATTTAATTTTTAATGCTGGATCGGCAATACGTGTCGCAGATTTATGGTTAAATCCTTAAAATTTACGATGAAGACTGCCCAACACAAAACACAAATTCAATTGGGTCAATAATTTTAAATGATGGCGAAACGAGGTCTCGGACAAAAAGTCGCAAGGACGCTCAAAATCCGTTTCTTCCACAGAAAGGCTCCGGAAACTAGAGGAACAAATAATGAGAGATCCGCGATTGAAACTGTCCTATTTAGCAGATGAGATGGGTGTTTCAAAACCAGCAATTTGTTCCATGTTAACTGAAGACTTCGGTATGAAAATGGTTTCCGCCCGTTGGGTACCAAAATTGCTTTCAGCATCTCAAAAACAGGATCGAGTCGACTTTTGCAATGCCAATTTTAACCTATTAAATGAAGACTTGAACCTGCTCAATATTTTATTAGCTGCATATGGTACTTGGGTTTACTATTATGACCCGGTGACCAAATAATAATTCCCTCAATGGAAGCACGAGGGGTTGCCACCGCCCGTGAATTGAAAAGTGCAAAACTCTGACAAAAAAATGATGATGACCACTTTCAAGGATACCAAAGGTCCCCTCCTTATAAAATTTATTGCTGTAAATACTACAATAAATGGGGCCGTGTACGCAGGAACCCCGAAGGAGCTGCGTCCTCCGGTTGAAAAGAAACGTGGGGTCAAAATAAAGAGTTGGCCTTTTTTTAGACGACAACGCGCCACCTCATACCTGGCATTTTGCGAGGGTTAGTGCAGACGAAAATCGCTTTACCTGCACAAACCACACCCCGTGCAGTCCGGACTTGACCCTTAGTGATTATTATTCGTTTCGAAACTTAAAGAAAAACATCAGGGGAAAACGGTTTTCGGATGATAATGAAATCAAGTCGTAAATTTTGGCATATTTTCGAGGTAAATTTTAATGAGTTATTGCTAGTGTTAATGTTAACCTACAGAACTGAAAAAAATCACAGCATTCTAAAAGTATTTGAAGTTTGTTATTTCATCAAAAGTTTGATCAGAAACAGTGTGGAACATACATTTTGAAAATTAATAATAAAACACCCACGTAAAAGAGGTCCACTAACGTCGCGGACTGCCCCGTCAAAGGCGCGCTGGGCGGGAACACGGCGAAATTAAATTTCGAAAAAATTATTTTTGAATAGACCAAGTTATAAGCTTTCCATTGATATATGTCACCAATTATTGAGTCATGGCTAAGACTAGAAAAACTTGGATTGAAAGGCAAGAGTTGGAGAAAAGAGTGATTGAGTGTCACAAAAATCGAGCAAACATTGATTCTAAAATCACTTGACACTTTTTCAAGCAAGAAGGTATTCCTCATTCAAAAGTCAACTTTTACATAAAAAAGTACGAGGAATCCAATGAACTCAAATTCAAAGTCCACACTGGTCGACCTGCAAAGCTAGCGACGACAAAAGTCAAAAATCGCATAAATAAAATCTTCAAAAATTATCCATCAACGACAATGGCTGGCGCGGAAAGGAAGGTTAACATTTCAAAAAGCTATCTAAGCAAAATCAAAGTCCATAAACTAGGGATCATAGCCAGGGCAAAAAAATAAGCACCGAATTACAAACCAACACAACAGGAAAGGATTCATGCGTTCTAAAAGAAATTGTTGAAGAAGATTCGGGGAAACGTGGTCATCATGGACAAGGAGCCCCACGTCGCAGCCGACCCTTCAAATCTTCCAGGAACGCATTTTTCCATAGTTCCAACCCCTATGAAGCAAAATATGAAGACAAAGTCCAAAAGAAAGACCAATTCCCAAAAAAATGATGAATTTGGCAACGCATGTCTAGCATTGGTCATGTTTCCGATCCCGTTATTTTGGAGGGTACTGTAAACCAGGAGGTTTATCTTAAATCATGCATTAAAGGGGGATTGGAATCGTTTATTACCAAGGATCATAAAAAAATAAAGTTTTGCTTTGGCCTGACCTCGCAACATCCCATGACGCCAAAAAGGTCACGGAGTACCGACATCTGAAAAAAATTGAATTTGTGCCAAAAAATGGCAACTCATCAAATTTTCCTCAACTGCGACCAATTGAGAAATTCTGGACGCTGACTAAATCCAAATATTCTAAGCTTTCAGAAACGCCAGACACCTTACGAAAATTTAAGAACAGTTGGAAGAAAATCAGCTTGGAAGTAGGTGCAGTCTCTGCGCAGAATTTGATGCGAAATCTGAAGAAGAAAATACAATCTGTAGCAGATAGCGGAATTGAATCATTAAAATTTTAGCTGTGTAGCAATCCAAACACTTTGGCAGTAAACATATGCAGTTTTCTTGAAATTGCATTAACTGTGTATCAAGTTCTGAGCACTTTATTACATCAGTCCGCGACGTTAGTGGACCTCTTTTAGTGGTTTAGTGGTGCCACAGTTGGCTTGGGAAAGTCAAAAAATAATTTTTGAGACGAGGTTTCACCCTGTCAGGAAGAAAATGGACATTTTCAACTCCATCCGACTTACTTCCAATCAAAAAATCATAAATTCAGGATAGTGGGTACGATGAACATTTTTGAAATCTTTATGAATAGTCTGGACTGGTAGAGTGTACATACGGTTTTTTCTTATTTAATTTGGCCTCAATTGTAAACATTTACTTCTCTTTTAAAAATATTGGCTTTAAGCACATACCACATGATCAGCGCCTAGATTCTGGAGGGATTATTTTTCCTTGGCGCACAGCTAGGAAGTGTTCCTCCTAACATAGCAATGCCATAGGTCCAAGGTTTAGTTTATCAACCCGGGACATAGTTTTACTTAACCAGTTCACTTGGAAGGAGATTTTTCTGTATGTAGGTCCGGTATGGATTCGCCGTTCAGGTTTTCAGCACCCTCTTAATTTTTTATGACCTTGCTGACCGTTTCTCTCCACTTCTGTCACTCTTCAACACTACCAGTGTCAGTGGATCATTTTATGGTACGGTCGACCATCTTGAGATCGCTTCTGATTCTTATTGAGCACTTGCAAAATGTTGAATTTTTTATTTTGCCAAATGTTGGTGAAAATTGCAACACGCTTTGTTACCGACGTATCATCTTGGCACTCTTGGTCACAAACAGTTTTTGGAACATCGTTTCTGAAGGACAATTGCATGGAGATTGCAATAAAAAATAGTACAACTTTCTAAAAAATTGTATTGCTTGCTTAATTTACCCGATAAATCTTTTAACATTATATCTGCGAGTACTAGGTATTTGCAAGTCGAGTGAACCTAAAGTATTTTATATTTAAACCAGAAAATCATGAGAGAAATCCGATGATTTTCACTTCAGGTCTTTGACGCCTAAAATCTGTTTTGTATGAGATCACCTTGTTCCCCCAAAAATAAGCATACCTAGAATTATTGTGTGTCGGAATGCGCTAATCTGAGCGCAGGGCCCGCATTTTATTTGAAAACTCGGGTCCTTAAATTTAACTTAGATTAAGAGCTTGGGGCTTCAAATTCCCAGTACTTTTAAAATTTTACAGTGAATTAAAAGATTGGAAAACATGCTCCGTAATGACATACTTGATTTATGAAAAATCCACCTGCGATATTGGTTGAAAATTTACAGGAGGTTATACTAACTTCAGAAACTGATAATAAATCCTAATATTAAAATCACGCGACAGTTGAATAATTCAACGTGCATTTTTAATAAATCATGTAAGTCCTTCAGAAGCATGTTTTGCGAATTTTTGAATTCATGCTAAGGTGACCTTAACATATAAGGTTGGAAAAGTTCAGGTTTTTGATAACTCTAGGGTTAAAACAGTTCAACATTCGCGCCTTACGCTCAAGTTATCCCAATTTTCAAAACCTATCAGTACAGCTTTGCTCAGCCCGAACCAGGATTGATTAGTAAACCCAAGTTTGCCAGAATGTTATACTATTTTTCACTAATTCTTGCATTAACTAACGTTCCTTGGTAGTATTACTTGGCACCAAACCAAATACCACGAGCAGTGGAGGCTGTTCGTATAAAAATTTAGAATTTAGTTGAATTTCGCAATTCAACCCTCCTATATTCTAATTCAGAGTTTCTTTTCGACTCCACACTAAATTTTAGCTGAATATATTAGAAATCGGTATGGTCACCCCTTAGCTCCCCTCTGGTTACTTTTTGTTCATATTTGACTTTATATTATTTCATGCGAAGCCATTAAGTATCACCGTTCCGAATTTCAGCTTTTTGCGACAATCTATGAAAATCGGTATGGGTCACCCCAACGGGTCCCGGCTTTTAAAAATTTTACCAAATTTCACTTCATATTCTTCCATTACGGGCCATTAGCAGCCTCTACACCAAATTTCAGCTCTATTGGATGATTTTGAAAAATCGGTACGGGTCACCCCCTCGGGTACCTCTGGTTGACAAATTTTCCAATTCAATTTCATATTCTTTCATTAGGAGCCATTAGCAACCTCTGTACCAAATTTCCGCTTTGTACGACGATTTTGAAATTTTGGTGCATAATATCCCACCCACTCCGATGACCCCCATGGGTCAACCACTGGACCGATTTGGTCCATCTTCGAACTCGTTCCCTAACTTTGTCCAATATGCATATGGTAAAAATTTCAGGTCAATCGGTCAACTCGTTCGAGAGTTATCGAAAGACAGACAGACAGACGGACAGACATGACGATTACATAAGCCCTGGTTCGGGCTCAAATTAGAAAGAGAAGATGCTTTTATCTTGTGACAAATAAACTTAAATTGGTCCCATGTAAAACTGCGTTCTACATTTGAAGGACTAGCATTTGAGAAAAATTAATGTTAATTTTTGCACCTGTGCTTTCGAAGAAGAAATTCAATTTCCTATCTCGCTTAAGCCAAAATACGTGGTTTGTAAAGACAAAGACATCGAAAAAACCCGAGTTTGTCTAGGAAAGTTAGAGTCCATTAGTTTTTTGTAGGCTAGTATGTTTCCTGGACTTTTTTCGGGGGGGGCGCAGTCGACTAACTTCTTTTATCATATTTATGATATTAAAAATTTTAACAAATTACTTAAAATATTATATTATAATATTATATCTGCGACGCGTGCGCCCGTCGGCGCCTCAGCGCCTACCCTCTTCTACCCTCGCCAACCCTCTCCCTGCCCTACCCTCTCCCTGGCCTTGTAAGAACGCGATTGTTTAATTTACTGTGTGTGTGTGTGAATTACTTTTAAGATAAGAAATTGAGATTAGAACTTATATAATTGTTTTCTATATTTCTAAGTTTGGACCAGTTTCGTTAACAGAAATTAATTTGTGCATGCACAAGAAAGCTCTGTGCGCCTAGCGGCGCGATCACACTTTGCCGCCTTGAACATTTCCCCCTAACAAATGTATGATACATTTGTATGTTACCATAATTAGTATTTATAATTAGTATCTTGCTCCAACCTGGTTAGAAGTAAAAATAACGCTTAGAATTATCCCAATTCATAGGAAGGCCGAAAATGCGTTGTATATAAAGACTATTTTAAGCCCTTAAGGGCTGAAGCCTTTATTATCTCATGAGTCATAACGTAAAGCATGCAACTAAACCGGCTTCATGCATAAGTAACGTCGTTAAGAACATGATTTTGATAGTATTTATAACAAATTACCTATTTTACATAAGCGTGAAATACCGTAACTGAGGAGAAATTAAGACCTAAAGCTAAAATTACGTCCTTTGGTTCAGGGAACGTTCGTATACTACGGGATTAAAAAAACGCTGATTTAAAGATCACCCACCCCTTCCCTATCCCATGTCATGTAAAGCCTATGTACATATCTGTAACTGGAGTAAGATACATACATACGCGACCGAAAACCAACCAGTGACCTTTTTGGCGACGTAATACGTGAACGAATCAGCATTTGGAATGCTCCACGCAACCGGTCGCTTTAATGTTGACTTTGTACCCAAGCTACTTTCACATTTCGTTCGGGATAAATTCACACTCGAAAAAGGCAGCCATTTATCTTCTATCCTTGCCTTCGTCACGACATAATTTATTTCCTTAGAAAATGTTAAGTTGTCACATTTTGAGATAATGTAGGGGGATTCGGAGTGGGGGTGGTTGCCTGGGAGAGTTGAGACGCCAGGTTTACCTATTTGAGGTATGTAACAATTATGTATTTGTGAATTATTTCATGGAAGTTGTTGTAAATTTTGGAAGATTTGTTTCGCTGGTTTTAACGTAATGAATATGTAATATTCGAATTATATTTAAACATGCAACATTTGGACTAATTTAGATCGTTACGAAGGACAATTGCGAACTTTCAAATTACTCAAAATCAGGCGTTTACAAGATAGATCCCTAAAACGGGCGGCTTAGGTGAAGCCAAGGGAAGTGCGATTAAAATAGTCGCAATAGCAACGAACCATAGCAATATGCAATACCACCACGTGAGCAGTGATACATGCATTTATGAATATTGCGGCCATTTCTTATCCGATCTTGATTATCTCAAAGTTAATTGAAAGCTAAAAATATTTAGAAACTTTTTTCACAGTACATTTTTGATTTAGGTCCTCAATTTTTTCGTATAAAGCAAAGTCACTTTTTGGAGGTTGTTTTTTGAGAATATCTCAGAAATGGGTAGGCTCACAACCGACCAGAGTTGGAATCCAAAAATAGACCATCATAATTAACTCTCGGAACTTATTTCACATAAATCGGTTAAGAAATGGTAAAGTAATGTGATTTTGTCAGTTTTGAACGTTGTAGTAAATGCATACTTAGGTGTTTTTTAATCGTTAGATCACCATGGCTTCACCTAAGAAAAAGGTGCCTAAGTTTAGAACAAAATTTAATTTGTGTTCTTTTGAAATGTGTACGAGTATTGAAAAATGAGGCATTGAGTAATTTGAGTTTGTTTTACTTTAATAATTTAGGTACCCTTTTCAACCTACTTGTGACCTTAATAAACGTTGGACTCGGAATTTTTTTTACAATTTGAGGTGCACAATTTATTTTAATTAATTTGCATGGATACAATTTTCTTATCCGATTTTTAAAGATGGAGTTTTAATTTGTCAAAATTTATAGATTTAGTGATCACGAGTTTTTCTGAAATGATTACAATCCCATTACCAAATTTGATTTCAAGCTGCAACCCCGCTTAAATCTAATTGGTTGATGGAACCCTACAGTTATTTCGGTGAGTGAATATAAATTTAAAGAAATTCGTGGTTATGTATGCATAACTTAAAAAAACATAATTATGTATGCATAACATTATGCATAACCTTGAAATTTATTAATCAGTTCATTTAATAATCGTTATAGATTGAAAACCTACCTGACAACGTTACTCCAATGCGGAAGTTCACTACAACGTTCTACATAAAGGACAATAAAGGACACCTTGTAGCCGGGTACCGTTCGTATTAAATCATTTATAATGTACTCTGCAATGAATTATTTAGTTTTAATTAAGTAAAAGCAGAAGTTAGAATCTAAACGTCACTTTGACTCCATATTTTTGCATGTTCTTCTTTCCCCAAAATCATTAGTTCCAAAACGATACAGATAAAGGATAAGGGGTTGATGATATTTCTAAATTTTGGAAATACGTTACATTTTTTATAAAGTTTAAAAACTATCTGGTAATTTCTACTCATAAGCCCTGTTCCAGATTGGCTATACAATTTTAAACCTCATAAGGAATTTTGCAACGATTATTCGGATGACGTTCATGAATTTGTAGGGCAAAAATTTCAATTTTCTATACCCCACTTAGCTCCTTTAGCATGTGCCACTTTCACGCATATATTAATGTAGTATGAAGATATGATTTTTTTGTAGAGAATGAATACAAATCCAGGAATACGAAATAAAGTTCAGTTCGAGAACAAAGCTTTCGTTCTAGTACATTTGCTTTAGAGTTGTTTGTTAATATATATAAAATGGTCTTTAAAATGCAAAACTTGTAAACAGTGAAATTAAGGTGTTAGCCCGATTAAACTGCAATTATGACACGATTGAGCAGGAAGATGTGGTATTTTTCAAAAGAGCATTTTGTACGAGGAAAAATCTCGAATAACCTGACTCCGTTGGGGTTAACGTGCTTTTATACTTTAAACGTATAGTTTTTGGAACTTTTTTTTAATTTCTTACAATTAAAATATTTTAATTTTGATTACCCCGTTAAATTTCAAGGTATCCGTAAGTATGAACCTGTTCTTGACGGTAATTGTCCTTGTAAAAATTGTATATTTACAAGATAAAACTCCACAATCTGATAAATACTAAGATATTTTATTTCTTGTTTACGCGAAACTAATTTTCGCACGGATCTTGAATTGCGTTGATTTTGTTAGGCTTGTAGTCGAATCATCTACCATGTAGTCTAAGCTTGTCTAAAATGGAATATCTGGTTTTCCTAATAATGAGAGTATTATTATAATAATGGGGACAAAAATTGACGTGACTAAGTGATGAAAATTTCTAGTTTTATTCAAACACGGGCATCATACTTTTAGTGATGATTTCCAACAATGTAATAATTATTAAGTTTAAATTTACTTTCAGGGATTAGATTCAACAAGCTAATAATCACCGTCTTAGTGACACATGACGACTTGATAAGTTAAAATGAGCTAGAAAATATTCAAAGTATTTTAAGATCCATGAAACAGATGAAAGGTATTCCTCAGTTTCGACAAAATCAATTACAAGAAAGTCCAAACACTCGTATGTATTAACCATATCCACGAAAAAATATTTTCTTTAGGGTGCATGCATAACGTGTAATTAAATATATAAAAAGTACAAAAATAGAGAATACAAGAAATAGAATAGTTAAAGGTTTGGGGAGAGGTTTGTCGCATTAGATTCCATAGTTTAATCTTGCAAAGCAGCTGCATAGTTATTTGTTCTCGAATAAAAAGACAACGAAATACAGACCAATAGAGACACAAAAAAAGTATAAAATTCGTGTACCCGTACATGCTTTTGATGTAGGTATTCTCTTCTAATAATATGTATGTTGGCAGAATTTGTTACGAATCGCTAATTTACACCCATTAAAATAAAATCTCTGGATTTTAAACTGACCAGGAATCCATTTTTTACGCTAGATATCGTATTGAGTTATATAAAAAAAGTATCACTTGAATAATCTACCATTTAGTCTTACTTGGCCTACAATGAAACACCTTAAACTTCGAATCCTACGCAAAAACTTGGGATTTTTGCAATTATGTATGTCTAGTTTTAATAATTTTGATCTTTAAGGAAGGCTTAATAAAATATGTTGTTAAGCTTCGGACTGAATTAATGTCACGAGAATAAACAAAAGCTAGATTTAAATATTGACGTAAATATTTGCGTTGGCCGAAATTGGGAATTAAAATGCAAAACTCATAGCAGAAAAATGGACACACTGAATTTGCACATACATACATATGTATACAAATTTCAATATGTGGGAAAAGACACATCTATTTTTCTATACTTATACCTTTATCTGTTATGCAAATTTCGAAATCTCCTCTATCTATCATCTTTGATAAAACGGTAATTTTTCAGAGATGAATAATATTTCCCTGTTTTAGATGTGTAATTTACCGGTAGACACATCTAAATAGAAAAATATGTTATTTTCATTTAGTCTCTCCAATTTTTCCAGTTTACTTTCCTCCGACAAAATCACTTAATATGAATACGAATTTTCTACTTAATCAGTTAAATATTTATGTAGGTTAAATCTGATTCTGGGTTGAATACTTATTTATAACGACTGGTCCGCGAGGGAATAAAATTATGCCAAAGTGGAATGGTTTCATAAACCAAATTTTTTTCATGGGAAATATAGACTAACAATTTTGAGCCTGAAAATTAAATCGTACGAGATAACCTTTGAGATTAATAATTATTCTTCGCGTTAAACACGTTTGCATATTGGTTCATTAAGAAATAAGAGACTCTTATTTTGCTATGGATTATTTGGTTTTAATCGGCATGCAGTTCATGTTACGCAGATAGTATTAGATGTGTACTTTAATATGTATTTAAGGTCCAATTGTGTAAGGTTTAATGTTACTAGAATTTACGAATTAATGTCCTATTTGAAACTTAAAAATACTTTTAATCATATATATATTTTGTATATTTATTATGAATTTAAAAGTGCATTATTATGTATTTACGTTTGCATGGAACTTGTCATCGACTTTGGTTTAGAAATACTAAATTATGTATATTTAGTTAAACAGCACATTTTGTAAACTAGTTTTATTTTTGGACATAATAATAAATACTGAAACACATTTTTTATATTTATTTGAATAAAAATTATTTGTTAAGATGGCATATTTTCCTGCGTGTTTCTATGCAAATTACTGATACGAAAAATAAAAATAAAGCTTATTTTAAGCATTGAAGGGCTAAATTTCCATATCGCATGCGAGTAAACCGGTAAGCACAGTTCCGTGCATTAAGATTGTCATCAAAATTATGACTACTGACACTTTTTGACACTGTCACCATGTATGTTAGCCCGCGTGAGATACGGCAACCAAGAGTAACTAAAATGATGTCGTCACTAATGAACGTACCCCTGCAGGACAAAGAGAACCACCCGCTGGCAAAGTTTTTGGTGTAGATTGTACTTAAATATGCATTATCATGGGTTCATTTACTTAGTGTACAAACTACACTCAATCGGTGACTTTAATGCTAAATTTGTACCCAACTCTATGTATATACTTTCACTTTTCCTTCTGGATAATAAATCAACGCCGGAAATAGGCAGCCATTTATGTTTTGTGTCCTTGCTCTTGTTATTACGTAAAATAACTTATTTCCCACTTGAAAATGTGAAGCTATAAAATACAAGTTAAGATAAAATGGGGGGTGGGGAGTTTGAGGTGGGGGCGGTTAAGTGTGGTGTGTAGCAGTGAAGAAAGCAGGTTTATACTAGTTATTTTTGGTAAGATGTCAATTTATTGATGAAATTTTCTGATAATTTTAATACATATATATTTTTGTACTATACCGAATAATTTGGAAATTATGTAAATATGTTTAATTATTCTTATGCTTTGAATCAATTTATGTAGATTGTTGTTAAGCAAGATTGTCAACTGCGATGGACCGTATTATGTAGAATTGGGCGTTTCAAAGGTACATAACTTTGGAGCGGAAATGAATTAGAGTTTTATTTAAATATAGAAATATGTAATTTTAGTAAATATGTGTTTCTTCCAGAATTTAGCCAGCTTCTCAACAAACGAGTGAACTTGGAATAACTCGGATTTGGAAATTAATAAAAATTCGAGGTACACTATTTTTGAAAGAAATGAATTTGTACATGTACAATTTCCCCGTCTAAATTTTGATGGATCTTAAAGTTTTAATTTCTAAAAATGTTTCGTTTTAGAGCAACAAAATTTTCCTGAGAAATTACCACGTGTAATTCACCCGTTCCTTGGGTTCTAGTCGGAGTGGCGATTAATTATATTTATTCAAGTGGGAGATATATATTACGGTGAGTGTATATTTATTAGTTGAAAAAAATAGTTCGTGGCTATGAATAATTTCGAAAATCATTAGTGATTTCGGTGTATGATCTTTCTAGATTGAAATTTGTAACGGAAAAAGACATTTTTACGCGGACTACGCATTAATCAAAGATCTTGACGACGAAACAGGACAACATTCAGGGGAAAATCGTTCGTATTAATTTGATAATATGTATGAAATATTTAGTTTTAATTAGGTTAAAGAAGTAATTAGCATTTGGCCTCACTTTAACTACATATATTTGCATATTCTACTTTCCATTAAACGAAACCAAACCCTTAACTCAATGATACACATTTACATATGTACCACACCATGAAACATAAAAGCATGAATTACTTAGAAATTTTGGGAACGTCTTGTGTTGGTGCAGAGCTTATAAACATATTGGATAACTGAATTCTATTCAAACGCGGGGTTAACAAATTCTGAGAAACATTTTAAGCTTTTTCAGGAATTTTGCAGCCATTATTTTACGAGATTTGCGACCTTTCTTAATTCTTCTGTAGGCATTTCTATGCCCTACTGCCATTTAAAATGGAGCTTATTTAAACATTTTTATATCAAAATTTCCTCTGAACATTCGTGCCTAAATTTTTGCAATGCAAAAGATTACGCTCATAATAATATTATTTAAGTGTGCATGCAATCTATTTACATAGTTTTCCAGCAGCGAGTTTGTTTTACTCTACATTCTTTTTCCAAGTTTCGCATCTTATGTTCGGATCGTGACTAAATCTAATCATTTAGAGTTTAAATTGGGCTTCTTACTTTGAATAAAAGGGAAGCGCTGCATATAAATTTCATGCATACTGTAACATGCAAGAAATTTATTGGGGAATAACCTCAATCGAGGTCACAATGCGGCAATTTTTGTTGCACCCATGTTGCACCCTAACTTTTCGAAAATTGAAATTGACAGGATTTTCATTAGCTTGAAAAGCAATGAACAGTTTGAAAAGTTGGGCAGATTCAGATAGTCGCAACAGCATTATATTTACAGGATAAATTGGAAGTTGGGCAGAAACAGGAAACTTTACGATATATTTAGTTTACCAATCACTTATGCAGAATATCCTTTGGTTCAACCTTCCATACACTTATCATTGACAAGATTTTGCACCTTTCTTATTTTGCATGATTGAGGTCTCCCACAAGACAGGTTAGGATGTGGGGTCCACAGAGTAGCACACCTTGGAGGTCACTGCCAAATTCTCAAGGTATCATAACGATTTTTCAAAACCGTAAGAATACGACCTGGTAGAATCCACGGTCAGTGAAAAATGGACGCACGTAAAGCAGTCTGTAATTTTAAAACATAGAATTATTCTCATTTTGCAGAACACAATATTAAAGTACTACTGTGTACAAAGTCGTACTTTTCACAACTAAAAGATTAACACACCCAGAAATCGATTTTTCAAAGAGTTTTGATGACCAGAAAATGCTGGTTCTCTTCACATTCTTGACGTGATGCTTATTCTTGAGCCTCATAATCTTAGTCGGTTCGTGGTTGATGGTCCATACGGCGGACTTCGCCATTACACAAAGAAATTGCACACATTTTTATTGTTAGTTTTTCATTCTTTACAAACATATGTAAAAGAGAAAATAGTGACAAACCTACCAGCTTTACTGGAAATGCATTGCGGTGCTCCTCGAGGCGTTGGCCAATTTCCAACATATAGTCGGCACTACGTGACGACTTCACACGATTTTCAGGTCAAAATCACGAATGTTCGCAGTCTCCCCCTGTGACTCAAAGAGGGGATTTTTCGGGCTTTGTGGTACTGGGATTCCGGCAAGGTGAACACCAGAACTTCAGAAACAATTTAAAAATATAGACAACATTTACGCGCGAAAGCTAGAGCAAGCTTTGTCATACAGTTACAACTAGAAAATAAGTATAACAAGTTCAAATATTTAAGTTCTCACCTCACAGAAAAATAGGGTACCATAGACAACGCACTCAATTGAAGAAGTAACTAACAGATCAGTTTGATATTTCCGTATTTTATGATTGAATCCTTATATTTGTTATACGGGCCCAATCCCGGAGAAATTACATCATTAATTAGTTCAGATGCCAAGTGTTTCTCAACTAAAAAAGTACCTACTGATACACAGTAGTCATTTAGATTTTTCATGCCTCCGGTGAAGAATTTTCCATCTGCTAGTTTGCATAACTCACTCTTGTCAAAGTGACAATTCATTTCCAAGCCTTTCACAAGATATTCTGATAAACAAGAACAGATACCTACTATGAGTATTAGTGTGTTGTATTTCGTAGCCATGTCAAACGAGAAATCATTAATGATAATCCGGCTCGGTGTTAACAGATTTTTTTTAATGGAACAACGTCAGTCGGTATGAATCCTCACCAGGAGGGAACAACAGAAGCGGCATTTCTTCTCTGTGTAGATGTCATTATTTGCAATCGTTTTAAGTAAGGTGTAAAGAAGATATAGGTATTAATTTGTGCTAACTTTTCGCGTAATATTTTCTACGTATGTAAAGTCTTACTTGCCTATCTTTCACTACTCATTCCCTTTTGTAGAACTACTGACAAACAAACAATAAGCACAACTTATTCGTATGAACAGTACGATTGACAAAGTAAATTTAATGCACTCAAATATTTGAAAACGAAGGTGTGTGATGGTTCCAGCAATTAATAATTAGGGGTATGAGAATATGTACATTTTTACATTCTTAGCATGTGCGACTTTTAACTGTAAAAGTTGAAATAACTTTCCCGGTACGAATTTAGACTCTAGATTGAAAATATTTTAGAAATTCGGGACACAACTTCATTTTTGACAAGCTATTTTGTTCACGTTGATTTTGTACTACTTTTTGAAGCGAGGGAGGTTCGTCGTCGTTCGTTCGTTCGTACGAGCAGTCTATCCCACAGTTTTACAACTACTAGTTGCTCCACCCCCAAAGATTTTTAACCATTTACGGCCCATTACCAAGATTTATCAGTAAGATTCCCGCTGTTACAATGTATCCGTGGTCTACTATCCCAGCCGTCACGTCGACCATTCAATGTAGGGCAACGCATTGCAACGCGAAGCCGGCATTTGATTAGACGCACATACCCCTCGGGAATATAATTTGGGACTCATTTCGTTTTGCTTAAGTTATTTAAATATTTGAATAAAATCCTGATTTTTCCTATCGTAAGCTTTCTCAAACACAGCGCTCCATTAGCAAGTCTCATCGGCCATAACCGTTTGTTAATATTAACAAACTGTGCAGTTTTTAACCACATATTAGTTTCTGTAGTCTGCCAAGTGTGTGCATTAAATGAAACGTGTATAATTACCAGAAATGAAACACTCACAACAATTAATATACTAAAATTGAGCTTTCGACTCCCTTTTTTAGTTTGTACACTTTATGTCTCCAATTTTCGCCTAATACCGATTGCAAAGCAATTGCTGCATTACTGTACATGTAGCATGATCGTTAAAATTAGTATTTGGCAATGATTCCACTTACGCCGAATGTAAATAATTATAAGTAACAGTAATCTGACACCGGCAGCACATATTCGTCTGTCGCTCTTTTCTATCGAACATGCCGTCTAGCGAAACATTAATGTTAGTATGAAGCGTGTAAAGAAACCGAAACTATCCATACTGAACGCGTTCCACCCTGCTTCAGTGTCGAGGTGGTGATCTGTGCTTGGTGTAACACCATAATTTGACTTCTGGGTGCACTTTGAAACTTAACTTTTGTAATCGAACCTCGCGTTATACTTCGACCATCCTCAGTCATGATGATTGCCATAACGTATGTAATTGAAAACGTTCATCAGCCGAAATCTCGATTGACAGACAGTTTGGCGAAAGCCGATTTGGCGAAAATAAATTTTCGCCAAAGTGGTAAAAAAAATATGATGAAAGTCCCGGATGGCGAAATTTTTGTCACATATGGCGAAAATTAAAAACTCGTAAAAGCACCTTTGGAGAAATATAAATTTTGCATTTAATCATGTCAAACGCCTTAAAATTAAAACAATTGTATATATAAACTATTAGATAATTCAAATTCCAGAAAATTAGGACTTATAGTCTGGAGAGCTTCTGGCAAGTTTGGATAATCAAGTTACCAATTTTTCATTATTAGCTCGAGTCCTATATTTACTCATTACTTCGCGAAAAAAGTGATCCAATCTCCTATATTTTCTTCTTTTGTACGGGTAGGACTGTCAATCAATTTTATAAACATCTACTTTTATTTACATCCGTAAATCGAAGTTTCAAGGAACACCTCAAAGTCTACTATAATTTGGGAAGGATTATAGTTTTTGACCTGGTCTTTTATGTATAAACTGAAAATTTGATAACATTCCTTTGTTTTACTGAGGAGAATTCGATAACGTGCTCATTCAAATACATTAAGATATGAAAATTAAGAAAATAGGTTCATAGAAAATTCTTGTAGTATTATCTTTATGATTTAACATACTCATAAAATCTTCGTTTTCGCCAAATGTAACATTTTTTTCGCCAAAAGGTACTTTGAAACCCTTGTTCTAAAAATGCCGTAAAGTGGGTGAAATTTCTTTTTCGCCAAACGGGATTTTTCTTTGGCGAATTTTTTTCGCCAAAAGGGTTTTCGCCAAACTGTCCGACTTCCGAAATCTCATACCTATTTAGAGTCTTATAATTCTTATTCCTCCCGTGTTTATCTTTATAATTGCTTTACCCATTGCAGTTGAGTGTCTGATGTTTCCATAGTGGATATTTTCTATTTTAAAAATGTGTATACACAAGAGAAAATTTCCAAAAAATACAAGAATTAATAAAATATAGGGTCAATTATCCGGTTCTTGTTTGGACCTAGCAATTTTTTGTTATTCTTTTGAGTTTTTGAAGTCCCGTTAGGCTTGTATTCGAATCATCTATCATTTAGTCTAAGTTGGTCTAAAACGGGCTACCATAGGTTTTGAAGACAAGGTTGATACCAGTATGCAATTATTCTATAAAGCTGTATGTTTGTAAGACATTAATACACACATAGGTAATTTAGGGATTTTTGAGATTATAATTCGATTTAGTCCACGGTTTCGGACATAATTATGACATTCCACGAAGACTAAATCCAATATTTAGGTCGGCTTGAATAGATATTCGTTTAGTGTTACTTAAACAAAATAACTGCCGTTCGGCTAAACAAATGTACATACACTCTAAAAAATATTTACCCCAGCCAGTGTAAAACCTTACACGAGCAGGAACTAAAAGTGATCCTGCTCTGAGCAGGGAATATCGACTAAAAGTGATAAAAGGTAACCAACTTTGCCTGTATTAGGTAAAGGGGTAGACCCGTACCAGATGCATGCCTAGATGCATGCCTGAGCTGGGTAGAGTTCAACTCTACACAGGGCAAACTTATCCCCGCTACCGGGTTACTACTTTACTTGTACATGGGTTAGCTAAACCCTCGCCGTAGTTGTAATTAATTATACGCATTTCGTAAATTCAATTAATTGAAATTTAATTCATTTATTCTTATTCATTACACATCATTAAAACAATGGAATAAAACAAATTAAAACAAAACATTTTACGAGTTACAAATAGTATGAGTAATATATTTGAAATATCATAGCCGTGGAAGAATTTGCCCAATGAGTGCCTGAATAACTGGGGTGACTATTGAGTTATCATCAATTGGTTTCCCAGCTATTCCATGCTCAAAAAATAGCCACAAATTTTTAGATTCTACAGGCAGAGGTAAATAAAAAACAGTAAAACATTTTAGGCACGTGTCTAAGGCTACCAGAAAGCTATTTCCACAAGGAATAGCAAATTTATCAAGAATTACAAAAAAACTATCAATATTTAAGTCGAACGTAGATCCGAGCGCTAGAATACATGGAGCCACAGCAGTATTTTCTTGTAAAATGTCGGCAACATGTGTATTTTTCTGAAACGAATCAAGTCACATATTTTGAGCTACATAACATATTTAACTCCAAATTTAGATAGGTGTATATAGATCATTTAGTACCGATCGAAATATTATCATGCTATTTCTTGAATCTAAGTCGGAAGCCTTTACTGTGCGTCGTCGTTTTGGTTTGCGACTAGTGTCATTAGTTTCGTTCAAACTTTGGGCTCGATCGTTTGTATTATCGACCATTTTTCTAGCAGTTGAAGGAAGAATGTGAGGCAGCAGACAATAGGCGATAAGAGAAATATCATCTGAAATGAATATAACAATTAAATTAATGTAGTACTCTGCTGTGTAATAATGGAAAAATACCACCTACCATCAGTCAAGTCGCACCTTGGCTTTTTAATTCCAAGCTTCTTGTCGTAGTCAATATCACTCTCCTCAGCGTACCGAAACAGTAACTTTGATGCGTTTGGCCAACGGTCATAAAGAATCAGTGAAAGCCCAGGATGACGAATGTTAAAATCCTGGACAATCTGGAAATCAAACATTGATATAATAATAAATTATGAGACACATTACGAGAGCAAAAGCGTGCATGACTGATTACCATTCCTTCCAAATCAAATAGTCTTGGGATAACAGTTGCAATGTCACGAAATCCTGCAATATTTCCAGATCGCATTTTGTCGCGA